AGAGTGCAGATGCGCTTGGTGCTCCGGGCAGCAGCGCTGGGGCTGGTGTTCGCGTGTGTTGGTGTGAGCGGTTTGTTTGCTCTCGCGGGGAGGCCCGGCCCTCACTGGATAATAAAAGGACTCCAGGCGAGGCGGGCAGAGCGAGGCCCTGCACAATCAGGGCAGCGTGTGGGCCAGAGAGGGGAGGAAGGAAGGGAAGAGGGAAGAATAGAGGTGAGGGGCTGTCTGGTTGTGGGAGCAGGAGGCTCGGAGAGGAAGCCGAACAGCTGTGGTATTCGGAGTGAGTATAAATAGCCACCCTGACAGAGCTGGGCCAGCAGGGGTTTGCAGCTGCAGCGGCTCTGGCTCTGCGGGCAGGCCTGTCCACCGCCGGCCACAGCAGTGCGCGCCAGGCACAGGGCTGGGCAGTGGGCAGGCGCAGCCCCAGGGGGCTCTAACCAGATACCCCTCACCATCACTGCGGCTGTAGATGCTCTCCCGTCCAGCCATGCTGGTAGGCAGCTTCTTCCTCATGGTGGTCACCATGACTGCAGCCCAACGTAGGGGGCAAGAGGCGGGCGTGCGTCGCCGGGCACATCGAGTCCAGCACGGCCAGTGCAGCTACACTTTCGTGCTACCAGAGCCTGAGCCCTGCCCGCCAGAGCCTGAGGTCTTTGGAGGCCCCAATAGCCTCCAGAGGGACTCTCCGGCCACCACGCTGCACCTGGGGGACTGGCCAGCCCAGCGAGTGCGACAGCTGGAGAAGGTGCTGGAGAACAACACGCAGTGGCTGCAGAAGGTAAGGTGGGGCCTGGAGGGGGTAGTGGGAGCCTTGGGGGTCTGTCACAATCATAGTGAGTGTCCATCCCCCAGGCCTTCCCTGGGCAAGCAGGTGAGACTCTGAGCTGTACAGATAAGGGTGTGAGGCCCAGAGAGGGACAGGGATGGAGCTGAGGCCACACAGCCAAACAGGGTAGCATCAGAACTAGAAGCCTGGCTCCGTGGCCGCCACTCATTCATTTATCCAAATGTTCTGAGCACTGATCATGGGCCGGGCCCTTCCTAGCTGCCAGGGATACAAGAGTACACAGGATAGCATGTGCCTGGACTAGGGCAGGAAAGAGGAGGCAAAGAACCATCTGACCGATCAGTGAGTGAAGAGAGGAAGGGGATGGAGAGGGTAAGGAGCAGCCGGGGCTGATAACGAGGTCAGATCATTCAAGAACATGTCTGAGGTGACATTCGAACCCACAGAACAAGTGAAACGATGGAGCCGGCCATGCAGGTATAGGGGGGCATGTTCCCCACAAATGGACCAACGTGTGCAAGGGCTGCAAAAAGGGACTGCAGGGCTGCAAAAAGGGACTGCAGGGCTGGCAGGGGCGTGGTGGTTAAGGCGTTGGAATCCCACATGACTGACTGTGGTTTGAGTCCTGGACCCGGTGGCTTGAAAAATCATGCTGGTTGCCTACACATGTGTGCCCAAAATCCAGAGGAGAATGGAGAAGGGATTGTGGTGTGGCCATGCCCCAGGCAATGATTTCTTACTCTCTCTCTTTTCCTACCCAGCGAGCCTAAGTGCCCGATAGCAAAAACTAAAAAAAAAAAGATGGACATGCAGCCCTGTGCCTCGGAGGAGCGGAGAAGGAGAAGGAGGGTAACAAGACAGAGTCCACAGGACTTGGCCCAGAGTCATGGGCAGGGCAGACTAGGGAGGCTTTGGGGACCACGGGGGGGAAGGCCTCTGGCATGTATGCCATGTGTCGTGGGTGTCATGGGAAGGCCTTTACATGTGTGCCTTGTGTCGTGGGAGCTGCTGCAGGATTTGGGGCAGCGAGAGACATGTCTGATTTGAATTTAACAGAATAGAGAGTCGGGAGCAGGCTGGGCACCAGGCGCCCAAGGAGGGTCCCATAAGCCACTGGGCAAGAGGGGATGAAGGCCCGGAGCCAGAGGGAGCTGGGCGGGATCTGGTCAGCCCACTTCTGATGCGTTCTGAAGGGGGAGCTATGGGTTCTGCTGGCCCACTGGAGGTGAGTGGCAAGTGCAAGAAGCTGAGGATGCCACTGGGGTCTGGACCCCAAACCAGGGCCACTGTAGGCACGCCTCCCCTCGTTCTTTCATTCTCTTAGCAAACTCTCAGCACCTACTGAGGGTCCTATATGAGGTGGGTACAGATGTGAACAGAGGCAGACTTGGCCGAGGGAGAGCAGGAGAGACGTCCTCCAGGTCCAAGATGGGGTTGGCAGATGCTCGAAGTAGGGGCCACTAAGGGAAGAGGACAGGAGTCAAGGGACAGTGTGGGTGGTGGCCATGGGCAAGTGTGCTCTCCGGGTGCCACCTGAAGAGCTCGCTTTTCACCGTGGTTTCAAGTGTTTACGTCACACCCCAATTAGTAAAAGGGGCTCACTCCCTGACACATGCATAGTTATTTCATGTGTGTGCACATGCACCCGTATTAATATGTGTCCCTGGTATGACACACATGAAAATGGGACTCTAAAAAGAGGATGTATGAAATTATGTCAACGGAAGTTCTGGGATTTTCCTCCTGTTTTCCAAAGGACTGTCTGGTGCACCCTTGGGTCCATCCACACCAAGGTGGAGAGACCGTGCCAAGGTCTCTAGGCCACCTGTCAGTGCACATGCTTCCATACACACTCGTGCACATGCACGTCCTCCCTTCTGTCCTCACTCCTGCCCCGACCACCTCTGACCTGCATTCACCATCTTCCAACAGTCCCTTGTCCACCTCCCCTTTCACCCGCCTGCCCTCAACATTTCCACCCTGCCACCCTCCCACACCCATGTCCCTCTTGAGGGAACTCTTGGCCTCACACATGGGGTCCCAATTTGGCTTCCTGCTATGCTGAGGTCCATTCCTGTCTCTGCAGGTGGCTATTTCCAAGTCCCATAAGGCATTCCAAGTCTTGCCTCCTCCTCAAGCCTGCATCTTCACCTCCCCACCTCTATCCTCACCCCCTGCCTCTATCCTCTCACAGACCATGGACCTCCTGCTTCAAGAATGGAGACTGAGAGCTCCCTGACCCACCCCTGCAGAATCACTCGTGCATCCATCAGTTCCCAAGGCCTTTTTTCAGGCTCAGCAGGAGGAGGTTACCTCCATGGGCTGAGGCCACTCCTCCCTCCTAGTCTGTGGGTCCCACTCCCTCATAGCCCGTTGACTTCTTTATTTTTTCCCCTCAACTTCTTCAAACCAAACACCATGCCCCGTGTCTCCAACAACTTTGACCTCTGCTAGTCTTTCTTTCCATATTTAGTCACACCCGAGCATGAGGGTACTTCAAACACTTCATGGAGAATGGAATTAATGTATGAGTTTATTTTGGTGCAGAAAATTCTGAAATGTACCCATGGTTTTAATCATAATATGCAATTTCCATGAATTTTTAAGCCTCCCCTAGCCCCAGCATATTCCACGTTAAAAAGGAAAGAAGACAAAGAAGAGAAGGAAGAGGAGGAGGTGGGGAAAACATAAGGCTCTTCTCCAACCCCTCAGTGTTCATAGCTCTGCCTCCACCTTCTCCCTGCGCATTTATTCCCTGCCCTGTGGTCACCTCCCATCTCCCTGTTCCCAACCCAATAGCTACAGCTTAGTCGTCGTCTTACTTGCTCTCCTGACAAACTCAGCATCAGTGACCAACCATTTTTCCAGGCACCGTCTCCACCAGCAAGTCCTTATCTACAAAGCACACCCGTTCT